TCAGTACACTTTTCTTTGTTTTTAAGGAGATTTTCCTGTTTCTTCATATTTTGCTTAGCTTTGGGGAGGCATCATTCTCTATCCCAATGCCCCTTCGGATTTCCGTCTTCTGTTAAAACACTTCCCATCTATTTAAATTGTTGTAGTTGCTTGATTTTGGTATCCCCAATTTGTAATTTGCATGTTGTGCTCTCCCTTTTGCTAACAACCATGCATTCTATTTTCTTGCAGATGATGCTTAATACTTTTTCCTCGCTTTCCTTCACTACCTTCTGCAGGAGTTTTTGTAGTTTTCTTTCCATGTCCGTCCTGTGTATGACGATAAACTACATCCGTGTCCTGGGTAAGACGATAAACTATGTCCAGCAGCAAGGCCTCTGATCAAGAGGTTTTGAGAAGCGTGGAACCACCTCTTAATACCTGGTGTTCTCAGTTCCACACTGACCCGGGGAGGGTGGTAGCACCTATTAGGGACCCGGCTATGGGCAAATAGTTATCCCCTAAACTGGAGTCAAAACACTATGAAAGTGTAAAAATAGGTTTTAATATCAGAAATTATATTTTGTAAAAAATTATTACTAGCAAAACATTTTTGGAGAAAAATATTACTAGCAATAAAAATGTTGTCGGCATGAAATAACCCATTGAGGTTGATATGCCGTAAAACAAAATAAACCAAAGCAAACGAATCTTTCCGTGTCTGCTATCAACAATGTGTCATCAGCATATCTTATGTTATCAAGATTGTGGCCGCGTATAATGAATCCTGGTAGGAGTTATATTTCTCTCAGAATTGCCTTGCTGTATAGATTGAATAAGTCCGGTGAGAAGACACATCCTTGTCTTACACCATTTTCTATTTTTGTATATCGGTTAAGCTCATCTTCTATCTGCATGCAGGCGGTTTGTTACCATTATAGGTTTTTGATTATTCTCATATGAACCAATTCTACCCCAAATATGTCAAGGTTGCGGGACAATTCCAACAGATCTTTGTGGTGTACTTTATCGAATGTCTTTGCGTAATTTATAAAACACAGGTACGAGGATGATACAATGAAGCTGCCTTAAAGGTAATGGGAAAAATGGTCCATATTTAGTTAAATAAATCCTTGCACAAATATCTAAATATTTACTTTGAAATTCACTTCCAGCTCTTTTTCTTAACTCTTTGCCTGTCCAGGGAATTTTCGTGTGTACTATCCAAACGTTCATGCTTGTTTTCAGATTTATAACTATTGCAAAGCAACTTAGTTTATTTGGCAAATAGAATCTGCTGATATATAGTGTAGACTCTTTTCTTAAGCTTCCTTAGTTTTGCCACACTTTTAAAATCATGGCTCGTGTGTCAGACATATGATGCCCGGACGTGGAAATCACATCTCCTATGAATCAAATATGATGCGCAGGACAGGCAAAGGGTTACTCTGCATGAGGCATAGACCATGTCTCGCGCACGTAAAACAAAGTAAACTAAACCATGGTCCTGTAGAGTCTTTTCGATTAGTGGGAAATTCTACCATCTTTGTAAGCAACAATGGCTTGTATCATCTTTAATATGACAACCGTAATTCTTGTATGGTCTGAGTCTTTTATATGACAGATGTAGTCAGATACTTTCAGGAGCAGTACAGGGGACCGACCATTTTTCTAGCATCTTTAGCGATGGATTGTAGATACGAGATCTTGTGTGAACATGAGTCCAAATAGACTCCTAAAGCCCGAAGCTTTATTGAGAATACATCATACCAGGAGAAAATTCACTGTCTTCTCTGTGGCTATGAAACATTAGTAGCTTGGTTTTGGAGGCATTGAAACTTAAAAGACAGTTTTCACGAGACTCAAATTATAGAGATATGTTTAGTTTGTACGGGTGTCAAAATGTTACACTTGTGTTTGTCTTCAACGGGAGGAAAATGTAGTTATGTTTGATTTGCTTGTTTCTAATTTTGTCTACCTACTCAACTCTAGTTCTATCTGCATGCAGGCGGTTTGCTCCAACTACTTGGCTATTCTAACACTTTTTTTCCGAAATGATACAAATTTTCCTACAAGTTTATATTTTTTTGTGTGTGTGTCGTACATTATCAAATGCATTTGCGTAATCTATAAAACCTAAAGGTTTGTCCCTCTGCCTTTGTGTTTCTCTCTTGTTTTTTGGTTGATACAATGAATGGAAAATATATTCAAACTAGAATTCTGATTATGAAGCACCCACAAACAATTCCATAAGTAAAAACTGTATCAAAAATGGTAAAAGATTACAAAAAGTCTACTCAATGAATAAGGTTTGTTAGACCATAATTAATAAAAACAGAATATAGATAAAATTGTATATGACACCATAATACTACTGGGCACAAATTATAAGACAAAATGTTTTAAATTTGCATTGCTTATTGAAAATCTCACTAAAACTACTGAACTGTACAAAATATTACGTCCTAATATAGCTAAATTGTTCAGTATAATTTCCCTTTGAAGTAAATCAAGGTCTTATTTGATGTTAAAATGATTTAGTAATAATGTGCTTGTGCCATGAATCTTGTGTATACAGAATTTGAAAAGTTTCGGTAAATTATAAATGTTTATACGGCTACTCAAATGAATAAGGTTTGCTAGATCATAATTAATTTTAAAAAATAAATGTGTATATAACACTATAATACCGCTGGACATACATCATCAAACAGTATGTTTTAAATTTGCATTGTTTATTAAAAATCGCATTAAAACTAATGCACTGAATAATATTGAATATATTACATCATAATATAGCTAAATTATTCAGTATAATTTTACTTTGAAGTGAATGGAGCTCTTATTTGATGGCACAATGATTTCGTAATAATGTGCTTATGTCATGCATTTTGGCCATATATAACTTGAAAAGCTTCAGTAAATTATAAATTTTATATAAGGCTGCGCTATGAAGCTTTCACTGATCACCGGAATTAAATTGCAACGCTATGATTCTGAGCCTAAACTTAATATTTAAACTGGTTTCCTCAAAAATCGGTAAGTACTTGATAAAAAAATATTTTGTGTTCTTATTTATCATGTCAAACTAGAACTATCGAACTAAGTGCAATACCACGATTCCAAAATCGACCTGCCGTACTGTATATCATTCGTTTAATAAATATAGCATTTCATGCTATTGTATTCCTTGTTTAATTCTGTTTAGCGTTCTTGTTG